GGTGTATTCCTCTGGCAGACTCCTTATTCCTCCTCCTCTCTTATGCAACTCATAAAAAGACAAGAAAGCCTTCCATAGTGTAGTAAATTTAATAGGCAAAGTTAAAAATTACAAAGTTTTCCACTCACATGCTCCTTTCCATAAAAAAGCGTTTTTCCCAGCCTGTGGGTAGATATGCATGCACCTGGGGGAATCCAATATGGCCACTGTGTCCGGACATACGTCACCAGGAAGTAGACAAACCGACGCGTAGCGTCACGTGCGTCGTGACTTCATAGGGTTCGCTACACTATGGAAGGCTTTCTTGTCTTTTTATGAGTTGCATAAGAGAGGAGGAGGAATAAGGAGTCTGCCAGAGGAATACACCACTGAGGTGGTAACTGCTTTGAGGCCCTGTGTGGGTCGAGGAAGGGAGGTGAGCAGGCATTGCTGCCATTTGAAGGAGAGTACTTGCACTTAGAAGTGGAGATCACGTGTGTGTTCCAGCTTAAAGCACAGTCACATGCATGGAATATTTTTTTCACCTTTGATATTGTCTTGTTCACCTATGGCATATATCATTTATGTATAATTTAGACACCATTGTATGTGGCCAATATTCTGTTTTCACGTATATATATATTCTGTTCATTATATTTGATTTATGCACTATATATTTAGTTTCCTAATGTGTGTTATTTAGCTATTTTGGTTGACACTATTTTTTCTTTTCACTAGAGGGAGTCAACACACATTTATTATATATAGTGGTCACTTTGATTTATAATTACACTATATGGAGATACATGATTGTATTCATGTGATACAAGCGCTTCACTAATTTTTAATTTTTACTTTAGCTCTATTAACCCTTGCGTAGATGAGGTGTGAAGGATGGAGGAAAATTTCACAGAAGGGGCATCAGCACAAGGGGCACATCGTGCAATACCAACTGTCCATTGTGCTGATTTTTGTTTTTTTTAACTTGCACTTAGGCCTTAACACCTGACTGGAAACACATACTGCTTTAGGAGATCCAGCATCCCACAGCTTTCTTCTACTTTCAGCATTAAAAAAGTTTGACAGGGGTGCTAACTCTTCATCACACTGTTGAAAGCCTTGTACACATGATGAGAAAACCAGACAAATGATTGTCCTTTTTTTTTGCATGATAGTCTCATATCTAAAATGAAGAGGTTACTAAAGATATGAAAATTCTCGTAAGACAGAATACAACTTTGGAATTGATGTAATTTATTGTAATGTATTCTTTCATTTCCGAGGATCTTGGTCAGTCGATTTTTTTACAGACGCATATTGTGCTGATTAAATGAAAATTATTTGTTCTGTTATCGCACAAGAAAAATTTTCATGCTTGTCCCTGTAGGATATTTTCACAGGAACTGTTGTGATCGGCTCTCGAAAGCTTTGTACTAATGATCAGATTATCGGGCGATCATTCCAAAAGCAGTATTTTTCACCCATTTTTCTTATCGTGTGTACTAGGCTTTAAGGAAAAAAAAGAAAAGTTTGTGCCTTAGATACATTAATGAATAACAAGTAATATGGTGTTAGTATGGTTTTATTTTTTTAACTACAGTAGTTGTTCATGTCAGATTCATATTGGAGAGCCAGACTATTGCTCTCACACAGAGTCCAGCGGTCCGGCTCTCCAGCATTCTGCTGTCACAGGGCAGCTTATAATACAGTATTGAGCATAAAAACATAGTAAAAAAGTAATAATGCCACATTCTCTACTTTTTGTGCAGCCTGGCAGTATAAAATATAAAATAAGACTTCAATTGTGCTTTCAGGAACTGACCTGATTGTTCAGAAATGACCCTTAGGCAGTCCACTGCACATTGCTATTTGGTTAATGTTCGGAAATCTCTGCATCCTCCATTAGTAGTAGGGGGAACTGGGTTAGAGCATTCCATTCTACTTTATTAACACAGATATTTACAAAGTTGGCTGAAAAAGCCCAACCCACCACATCCCTGCCAACTTTTGTGACCCGCCACTATAACCATTCATGCTCCATACAAGGGAAGATTGTTCCAAGGTTGCAAGAAAAGTTCATGGCTGTTGAAAGTCTTCACCAATGCATTTCCTTCTGGGATGATCAAAGCAAAGTGCTGCATGTTTTCACCTTGTGATAAATTGTTGCGTTTAGTAATGTTATGAATTTGTCTTTTTTCCTTTGTCCTGTATTCTGTGTCATGTTACAAGCATGTCATGTCACCAAACCAGTTTGTATCTTGTGTCATTTTTCAAAGCTGTGTGATCATTAACAGAACTGGAGCTAAACAGATTGTTAGTTTGGGCGATTGTTACCTCTCTTGAGCAGTGAATTGTTAGGAAAATGGCACACTGTGAAATGGGTGTATGTACACTTTAGTGTCTATTTACAGTAAATATAGCTTTAGGCATTAGATCATCTGAAACAGGGGACTATAGTGTATGTTTAGTGAGCGCACACTATAGGTTAATATTGTAAAAGTCATCTGAAAGTAATTTTTACTGTAACTTTTAAATTTTTCTGTGTTTTCTATACTATATTTTATGTTTGTAGTTCAAATTTCTCTCTAGTGGCTAAACTGTATATTAGTCATGCACTCAGCATCAGTGCTGCATTTCTGCTAATCCACAGTATAAATGGGTATGTTACACTATATTGCCAAAAGTATTGGGACACCCCTCCAAATCATTGGATTCAGATGTTCCAATCACCTCCATGGCCACAGGTGTATAAAATCATCACCTAGGCATGCAGACTGCTTCTACAAACACTTGTGAAAGAATTGGTCGCTCTCAGGAGCTCAATGAATTCAAGCATATTACCATGATAGGTTGACACCTGTGCAATAAGTCCATCTGTGAAATCTCCTTGCTACTAATTATTCCACAGTCAACTGTTAGTGGTAATATAACAAAGTGGAAGCAACTGGGAACAACAAAAATGACAGAGCACAGAAGTCACCAACTGTCTGCAAAGTCATTAACTAAAGACCTCCAAACTTCATATGGCTTTCAGTTTTGCACAACAACAGTGCGTAGAGAGCTTCATGGAATGGGTTTCCATGGCCGAGCAGCTGCATCCAAACCTTATATCACCAAGTGCAATGCAAAGCATTGGATGCAGTGGTGTAAAGCATGCCGCCACTAGACAATAGGGCAGTTGAGAAGTGTTCTCTGGAGTGTCGAATCACACTTCTCTGTCTGGCAATTAGATGGATGTATCTGGGTTTGGTGGTTGCCAGGAGAATAGTACTTGACTGCATTGTGCCAAGTTAAGTAAAGTTTGGTGGAGGGAGGATTATGGTGTGCGGTTGTTTATCAGGGGTTGGGCTTGGCCCCTTAGTTCAAGTAAAGGGAATTCTTAAGGCATCAGCATACCAAGACATTTTGGACAACTTCATGCTCCCAACTTTGTGGGAACAGTTTTGGAATGGCTCCTTCCTGTTCCAACATAACTGCGCACCAGTGCACAAAGCAAGGTCCATATAGACATGGATGAGCAAGTTTGGGGTGGAGAAACTTGACTGACCTGCACAGAGTCCTGACCTCAACCTGATAAAACACCTTTGGGATGAATTAGAGTGGATACTGCGAGCCAGGCTTTCTCATCCGACATCAGTGCCTGACCTCACAAATGCACTTCTGGAAGAATGGTCAAAATGTCCCATAGACATACTCCTAACCCTTGTGGACAGCCTTCCCAGAAGAGTTGAAGCTGTTATAGCTGCAAAGGGCGGGGCCAACTCAATACTAAATCCTACGAACTAAGACTGGGATGCCATTAAACTTCATGTGTGTATAAAGGCAGACATCCCAATACTTTTGGCAATATAGTGTATTTCCAATTACCTAGGTTAGACTGACAGAGAAAATTTGGCCATATACTGTTCAAATTTCCCTATTGAAACAGACAAAATTCCCTCTGTGGGTGGTCCTGTTGGCCCTCTCCCATGCAATATCCTTTGAAAAATCGAATTGACTAGGAGTAAGATTTTCATTCAAACAGTGACTACATCCAACCACCTATCATGCTAATCAAAGAATGGCTGCAGCTCCTGTTTGGATATTCTGATCAGAATTTTCCGAATGCAATAGCTTTAATTGGGAGTTTGGTCCATCTGTGCTGAATATTGTGGATGGAGTAATCTATTAGATTCTTTTCATTTAGCCCATAGGCTGAATGACAAAAGATTAAGGCTATATGGATTACATTACTGTGCATCACTTCAAAGAAGATGTTCAGCCGATATTCTGTATACAATGAGTAAGCATTTATGCACACACCTGCAACAAAAATACAGCATTTTTATCACTAAATTTACTTTAGTGCAATTTATTGGAGCTGCTTGCATCCTAAGAATAGAAAAACACTAGGCAGCTTTATTGGGGAACCATTTACATCCTTGCAATGGAAGTATTCTAGGTGGCTTAGTTGAAAATCCATCTGCATCTTAGCAATGGAAGGACAATAGATGGCTTAGTTGAGAAATCTTCTACATCCTAGCAATGGGAGAATGCTAGGTGACTTGTTTTGTAAGTGGTCTGCTTCCTAGGCAGCTTTATTGAGAAACCATGTACGGATGCCTGCATCCTAGGAATAGAAGAATGCTAGGCAGCTTCATTGAGCAACCATCTACGTCCTAGCAATGGAAAAATTATAAGTGGCTTAGTTGAGAAGATATCTGCATCCTAGCAATAAGGGATACTAGGTGGGTTTATTTAGAAAACCATTTTTGTCCTAGCAATGGGATGATACTAGGAAGCTTTACTGGAAAGCCATCTGAATTCTAGCAGAAGAAACTAGGCAGCCTTGGTAAGCAGCTGACTGCATCTTAGCAACGATAGGACACAAAGCAACTTCATTTAGAATCTGTCTGTGTCCTAGCAATGGAAGGTTGCTAGGAGGCTTCATTATGACGTCACCCATGTCCTAGAAATGAAAGGATGCCCGGCAGCTTCACAGGGAATCCATCTGAGTTCTAGCAGTCAAAAGACAATAGGCAGCTTTGGTGAGAAGCAGGGGCGGACTGACCATTTGGAAACACGGGCACTGCCTGAGGGCCCGGGGTCAGTAGGGGGCCCCATGAGATGCCTCTGGTACCTTTTTCATAGGCTTTTTTGAGTTTGGGCAAGGATACAGGGGCCCCATGATCCCCTATTGCCCGGGGGCCCCATGAGTTGTCAGTCCGCCCCTGGTGAGGAGCTTCCTGCATCTTAGCAACAGAAAGACTCTAGGCAATTTAATTGAGAAGCCACCTGCTTCCTAGCAAAGGAAGGATGCTACTAAGTAACTGCATTTGGAAGTTGTCTGAATCCTAGCAATGGAAGGATGCAAAGCAGCTTCATTGGGAAGCCTTCTGCATCTTAGCAGCTGTAGAATGCTAGGCAGCTCCAGTGAGAAGCTGCCTGCCTCCTAGCAATGGAAGGATTGTACATCGACAGATGTTAGTAACATTATTTATATTAAGATAACCAGATTCAAATAGATATGTCTATACAGAACTTTAAAAAAATAATAGTGTGCTTTTGCATCTATGGTCATCTTTAAATCAGAGCACATACCCATAGCTAAGCATTGTTACAAGCGATGAAGATTATCAGTATTTTTTTTCTTAAAGCAGATCTCTGCAGGGGAGAGGCCTTACAAATCATGCAGTGGGTGTGTTTGGAAATAGCTCTACAGAAATGCCCGCAGCGATAAAAGAAGAAAAGAATTAGCGAAGGGCAGGCATGACTAGGCCCAGAGTGGGAAGGAAGACGTGTGAGGGTTAATGATTGTTTAGAGTTGGTAAAGGATAGCTGGGGGATCTGGTTGGTAGAGGAGAGTGTAGGTGGGGTCTCCTGCACTTTAGGGTGGGGTGTTCTGGGGAGGGGCGTCAGTTGGGAGCTGGACGTGGGAGAGAGAGCTTCCCTCCCGCCCGCCCTGTTTGGTGAATGTTGTGTTCCTCCTGGAGGGGGGGGTTATTTTGGTTCCTGGGTGGTGGTTGGTCTTTGGAGGCGGTTCTTATCTTGGAGGTACAAAATGGTGTGGGACCCATCGTTGGTATGGTGTGCCCGGGAACATTCCCAGTTAACCGAGGTTTAACTGGAAGGTGGTGGTGCTGCACTGCGGACGGTATGGTTGTCTCCGAGCTGGTTGGTTGCGGCTGGAGCCTAGTGGAATATGGTTGTCCACAGGTGCATTTCGGATCGTTTTGGGGGTGCCTTCAAAGACCAACAACAACTCTTTATGTTTTCTGTTATAAGAAATGGTTGATGTGTTTAAACTTGATTTGTTAATAAAAGGCCGTGCTGGCCATTTTACTCCAAAATTGGTGTTGTGTTTTCTGTAAGTATAGTAAGTAAAGGGGATTGGTATGGAAGGGTAAAGGGTAACGGTGGTGTAGTGGGGTCTGGATGAATCTATCTCGGGTGCACTAGTCATGCATCAAATTCAGGGATTCTCAGGTTACAAGGGGATCCAAGAAAGTGAAATAAAGCAATATCCTCTCCAAAAAAACTGAAAGACTTTTGAATCAAAAACTGAAAGACTAAGCAGATTCTCTGTGATCCTTGTAAGCATCTTTAAGAGACCCAGGCACTGGGAAAAAATATTTTATCTAAACATTTCATACAACAGAAGAAGTGTTATACTTACACAGGAGCCTGTGTCCTCTACCTACCTCTTTTGTCTGTCTCAGAGCTACCAAATTTTTAACATTCATCACTTTCAGGAGTTTCGGATGGCCATGTTCTGTGCCGCACATTGGGGTTCCATCACCCAACTCCTACATCATTAAAGAACACAACAGAAATAGAGGAGTATGGAGACACGGCATGCAGCAGGAGACACAGCCATCCAATTTTCTGGAAATGTCAAAGATTCTAGTAAAGGCTGCAGTGCTATATTGGAGCAAAGGTAGGAGAGGTTATAACCTTTCTTCTATCACAGAAACTTTCAGATGGAATTTCGCGACTGATAGGGTCACTTTAAAGTGTTTTCTTTTTAAATATTATAATTGTAGAGGTTTACTCTACCTTATCCCTTTCTCTTGAGTTGGGTTATTGAATAGGTTCATTGACTTTTCTGCAGTGCAGTGGCCTTTGGATAATACAGTTGTGTATTACGGCACAGTAGATTCCTTTTATTAATGAAAACGACTCATTCAGCTGCACAGGCTCTCACACTTTGCATACAGATGGCATTATCACAGAAATCTTAGTCATTTTTGAGTAATGCAAACAAGCTGAATGAGTGTGCTGCCATGGATCTGAGTCATTCTCCCAACATCTCCAGTTCAAAGCTCCTTCAAGGTTTAGGGGAACTCCTAGTCAGTCTAACAAAAAGAGACTTTCTACCTTATAGGGTACTGAGCATTCTGCTTTTCTGTGTAATGGGCCAGAAATCACGGAATAGAGAATGTGAAGAAGAATGTTATATAATCTCTGCAAGATTATTCATTCAGACACTGGAAACTGGACGGAACAATGCTCACTTTTATACACAGCATAATTATTGGTGAGGTCTGACCTAAAGTAGCCATACCTGCTGTTAAAGTGTTTGTAGAGCACAAACGTTTTGTTTAGTTTTGGATGAAGAAGGAAGAATTAGAACCCCTGCAAAATGTTCATTACTATCTGAGTCCCTGTTAGGTATATTCACCCTTTCAATTTGCCCTGTGGATCTTTTTCACCAAGACAGTAAATACTGGAAAATCCAGAATTTAAAGTAGAACTCTAGGAATGAGACTATTTTAACTTACTTGGCCAGCTTGGCTCACACTAATTAACCAGATGCCATCTCGCCAATAGTAAAGCTGTAATTCACCATGGTAGCCCAGGCTGCATACAGTAGGTAATGTCCTGGTGTCCTCCTCTGGCAGGAGCTCAAGCAAACTCCCCTTTGTCCACTAAACATAGCATCGCTCGCTCCCATACCTCCACCACTCAGGTGAAGGTTAACTCAGGTGTAGGCTGCCAATCAAATGCATTGTATTTTGCAAAGAGGCACCGGTATTGTAATATACTAGGATACCTTGCCTGTATGGGCCATTATATTCATAAGGTGGACTATGCCTTTAAAGCTGTAGAACAAGGTAGAGAATAAAGCTGGCTATAGATGGATTAAAATTCAGCCTGTTCAGCAGGGATCAGCCTCATTTCAATCCATCCATTGTCATTCTAAGGATCAACTCCACCCTAACAGGACTGTGGTAAGTTTTCACCTGATCAGCGCACACAGTCAATTGGCTACAATGTGGATCAGTGTATTCTGACAGTGGAAGAGTCCCACTGGCAGGATACAATAGCACAGTGGGTAGGACTTCCCCATCTGCCTTGTAGGTGTGGATGGGGTAATCCATTCAGATTTTTTGATCAGTCCACTTGTTTAAAGATATCACCAGCTTAACGGCATCCTTAAAGTGGTTGTAAACTTTTACATACTGTATACCGAGTGAAGTGGCTGGCCTCAGATGATACACAGGGATGAAACAAATCCTCCTACTTAACCTTTACCTGTTTAGTTGCAGTCTTCTCTTCTCTATATCCATTCAAAGTTCAGACTTTATAAAGCTTGTCTGAGCTTTCAGAAAACTAGGGGCGGAAAACTGAAATAACACACTGCAGGGCTCAGTGAGTGGTGAGAGCTCTGAGAGCTGATTAGAGGGAATGGACATGTCTTCCCCTTTACACGGTGCAGAGGAAGAGGGCTGAGGCTATTAATCACAGGTTGTGTGCTGGAACTCTATATATCTATGGGCTTCAGTCACCTCCCAGCTATGCATGCACCCATAATCTGAGTATTCTGGGGAAAAAAATCATTAACCAGAATAGATTATCTTAGGAGATCATTATTATTGCTGATATAAGTTCAGGGATGCAGGCACAAGGCATACTGTAAACATGCACACTTGGCTGGCATTCAGAACATAAAGAATGTCCAGCAATCTGAAATTTTAACCACCTTATATCTATTGGTATGTTGGTATGCAACGTTTACCTGCAGTGAGCTGTGTATTTAGGCATAGGTTCATCCAAGGACCATTCATGCCTTACTGTGACCCTGTAGTACAAGAACATCCTCTCTAGAAAACACTCAATGTGTGACAGGGTCAGATCATTACTTTCATGGCATAGCCATTAGCTCAGTTAGGAATTTGCATGCCACAGTTATCAGGTTCAGGCATCAGAAGCTCCCATGTCGCCCTGTCCTTTGTCCAACAAGACCAGTCTGACAAGCCTTGTCCCTTGGGGGGGCTGAAAAGTTATATGTGCACCATATTTTGGACAACTTTTATATATTCTTCTGACAGAGTAGAGATAAGCCAGTGTTGGCGTCTGCATTCTCCCAGTAGAAGATGGGCAGTGCAAAGAAAGACAAAAATAAAACTTTTAACATCATTAGAAAAAATCAGCCTGAAAAAAAAGTACTAACAATGAAACTGACAAAATTGTGCAAGAGATACTTCTTGTTTCTGATTTTTATAGATGTTGATTTTCTATTTTTTAACCTCAAAATTCCATGTGACTCATTTCCACTAAATTGACTATATATGCAATATTGAGTTTTCTCTGCATAAGCTATATTACCATTGTAAACATTTCAGAGTGAAACGTCTATATTTTATTGTATAGCTGTCATGAAAGACATATAAGGGCTGCCACTACTGTCCTCCTTCTGAAAATGCTATTTACTGGCTGTTTTATTAATTCTCAGGTATGGCCGTTTTTACATAGTTATACTGATCCAATCCATTTCTGGCATTTTTTGTTTACATTCAACAATTAGTATTTTTCGCTAGAAAATTTATCAGAACCCCCAAACATTACATGTTTTTAGGGCATAGTTCCTAGAGAATAAATTGGTGGGTGCTGTAATTTTTAATGTCACGTGGTATTTACGCAGGGGTTTTTCAAATGCAACTTTTTGGAAAATATAAACTTTTTTGAATTTTAATGAAAAAAAAACACAATACATTACCCAATTTATGGTAACATACAAAAGATGATGTTACACCAAGTAAATAGATACGCTTTAATATTTTGCATGCTCATGCAACAGTAACAATCAACAAAAATGTTACTACCCACAGGCAAGGCTTTAAAAACCCTTACAGTGTATCACTTTAGATTTACAGTGGAGGTCTGGTACTAGAATTACTGTCATTGATTCTGCTATGCAGAGCCATACAAAGCAGAATGCTGGAGCTGACAGGGGAGCAGGGGCGGACTGACAACTCATGGGGCCCCCGGGCAATAGGGGATCATGGGGCCCCTGTGTCCTTGCCCAAACTCAAAAAAGC